AGATGACAAACCTCCAGGTAAGAATGAATCAAAAAATACTGAGCGCACTTTTAAGTCCAGTCACACATTATTTTAATGAAAGGACATTTAATATATTTTAGGAAACAGAAGCTACCTGTTTCAAGCCTTGAGGAGTACTGGTAGAGGAAATACAAATTAACCAGGTATAGAAAACCCGTCCCTGGGCCAACTGGGAAATACAGTGTTGCAGATATTGGTCTCCATATCTTTGAAATAATTTGATTAGCTGAATAATGAAATGAGTAATGAATAATTACTCTTTATATTAGTAACCCCTATTATTGGACATTTCTGCTCATGGAATAGAATAAATCATGATTTTTACAATGCCTTCAGTAAATGAAATATTGTAATGCTGCATCTAGACCACTAGGTGTCAGTATAAAAGGCCGTTCACACAAATAACGATAATAATAACTGCATTATTGGATTTGGGTGGATTCTGACTGGCTGGCAATGTTTTTTTTATCAGATTTTTTTTTAAATTGTTCTGAAAGTGATTCCGATATTGTTCCTCTGTGTTATATATTAGGACAGCAAGTCCACACAACAGTTTCAAAAAAAACTTTCCAGCTGATAAAACACTGACAGCCAATCAGAATCCACCTGACTTAAGCATTTAAAGTGGAAGATGACAAACCTCCAGGTAAGAATGAATCAAAAAATACTGAGCGCACTTTTAAGTCCAGTCACACATTATTTTAATGAAAGGACATTTAATATATTTTAGGAAACAGAAGCTACCTGTTTCAAGCCTTGAGGAGTACTGGTAGAGGAAATACAAATTAACCAGGTATAGAAAACCCGTCCCTGGGCCAACTGGGAAATACAGTGTTGCAGATATTGGTCTCCATATCTGTTGAGAGGACACAGAAAAAATTATAAATGACTTGACACAGATTACCGTTGGAGATGCCCACTGATTCTGGCATATTGAAACAGATGCATCAAAGTACTTACTGATTTAAAAATCAACAGACATAAGATACTTAAAGGGATAGTTTACCCAAAAAAAAGAAAAAGAAAATTCTGTCATTATTTACACATCCTCATGTTGCTTCGACCCTGTATGCATTGACTTTCTTTCTTCAGTGGAACATAAAAAATATATATTTTGAGTGTTTTTGTCCATGCAATAGAAGTCAATGGTAAACAAAATGGTTTGGTTACCAACATTATCTTACCAAAAATATCTACCAAAATATCTTCTTTTGTGTTCTGCAGAAGAAAAAAAAGTCATACAGGTTTGGAACGGCATGAGGGTGAATAATTGGTATTATCCCTTTAAACTGAAGTAGAATTACAGAAAACCAACAGGCACTGAGAATATCTAGCAAGCAGCATTTGTATGCAGTCGCCAGCACTGCCTGAAAGTTATAGCTGCCATGCTTGCACTGCAGATTTGATTCCCCACACATTGTGGACTCATTATCCATGTGCCTGAGCACGACTGCAGCTATTACACCAGACATCACGCTCTGAGAGGAACAGACACTCATCTGGTCTGTTATCCAGATTTGTTCGGTAATTCCCAGACTACAAAAACTGGGAACAACAAACACACTCCCCTGCACAAATTTTTAACACTCTCCGGTGTTTAATTTGCTCTAAACATGCACATGCACACCTTATCCCTCTCTATAGTCCTCGGCTGTCTTGTTCTCCTCCCTTTCCCTGTATCCCTCCCTCACTTCTAGTGCTTTCTCTCCTCCCTCCGGCACACACAGAAACCCTGAGCTAACAGGGTTTTCGGTCTGGGGGACTGTGAATCCGCTGAGCAGCAACGCTTTGATGTTGGCGTCTGAACTGGCTCTGCGGTAGCCAGGCAGGCCAATGGCCCCCTCGCGCACTGCAGCATAAATCACGCCAGCTCACTTGTGTGGAGAGGTGACCTCTGTGGACTGCAGCATAGAGAAGTGGGTTAAAAAGCACAGCAGGATTGGTATGCCGCGAGAGGACAGGGAGAGGCTTATTTGGCCGCTTCTCAACCGCTAAATGGTTCCTTAAGACAAATGTGCCAATGTGAGCACCGGTTCACTGTGACAAAAAAGCTTTATGTTACCCTTGGCTTAGCAATGTATGCTCTTTAAAGTGGGTGATATCACTCATTTTGCTCAGATATACTTTACTTCCTATATCTGTGCCATAATCCAGAAGAAACCTGTACTGGCACAGGGGTCATGAAATGCTAGCTAATAGTGAGCAGACAGGAGTTAAGTTTAGAGCATGTTCAAAGGGAGTTGATAAATCACAGACACGCCATATAAAAAGGAGCTCAACATTTAAGTTCCTAAATTACAACTAAAATTGTTCAACAAAAATGAATCACAGGTTAATTAGCCATTAGCAGAGGTCAAATTAGTCCATGCCTGAATTTCAGGTGCATCACTCATGAAAACGTATCTTGGGAAACAGATTTAAAGCAATAATGCTGCCATTTACAAACTAGATAAGCCCAAGAAATATCAGTGAAATCTCACTGTTAAAGACATAGTGACACGTGATGGATGCTAAACGCTACCAAAATGACCAAACGATGTGAGGTGGGTTTAAATACATATTAAAATAACTTCTTGTGGGCTTTACTTCTTAAGGAGTGGTGCATTATCCCACTACACACAGTTTAGGACTTGCATGACAGCTTTTCAATCTTTTACATGCCACAGGCCCCCAAATATAATCATCTTCTTGCAAGGGACCCCCATCCTAAAGTTTAAAAGAGCTACATATTTTTATCTATAAAAAAATGAAAAGTAAAAATCTGTGTAAAATGTTATTTGGAAAATATTTATGTCTTGGTTTTACATTACATTATTAAATGTTTCCATACTAATAGTGCTGCAGAATTATTAGATGTATAATCTATTTATTTGCATAATTGTTTAAAAGTATTTTAATTAAATTATTTTATTTTTAATAAATATTTCATTTATTTAGTTTAATATGAGATTTTAATTATTATTTATTCATTCACACTGATGATCTCTAAACTTTTCCAATGACTCCCTGAACCCCAGTTTGACAACCCCTGCTTTAAGTACTAAAACTGTTCTGAAGAAAACGATGTATATAATCTAGGCCTATACATAGGTTTTTGATATTAACATGATAGTTAACCACCCAGAGAAGCTCATAATTTGGTGTAATAGCAATAAGGATGGAAATAATGGATACAAATGTTTCTTAAAACAAAATGCTTGGGGCCACCTGGTGGAAATTACTGGCACCGAAAACAATAAATATCATATTTTTGATAATTAATTATCATGGTTAATTACGTATTTTAATAGATTTTCAATACTTAGAGGTTAGGCAGATTGTAAGAATGAGGTATTAGAAAAGCCGACCTCCACATTGTGGACAACAGAATAACATTATTTCTAATATATGTCGCAAAACTCTTATATTACCTAATTAGTTATAGTAAGTTAAAATATTTGCCATCACAGTGAGAAGCAGTTATTGTAAAAGGCCAAATTAATTAGGCAGCCCATGAAAGCCTGCTGTCCCGGAAGTGTAGCCTCGGACGCGTACTCGACTGTCATTGGTTGAACAGAGCAGCCTGGGACGCGTTCAGTGTTACTGTTTTTTTCTTCTTCTGTGGGTGCGCAACTTTTGATTCAAATTGCGTTTTCTGTCTTTCAATACTATAATAATATCACCAGTATAACAGATTAATGGTGACGTACAGATGGAGGGATTCGGTTAAATAAATGAGGATACTGACCATGCACAAATAGCACGTGTTACGCTCTCTCTTACCATTCACATTCTGCTTAATCATAAAACATCGTATTAAGTATTCGTATCCGCTTCAACAACCTTTAAATACCTAACATTAAAACTTCCTAATGTACAAAAAATATTATATAATAAACCACGTAATTTAGGCAACCAGGTGCACGGCGCATGAGATTTTGAACACAAATCACTAAACCGTCTATCATCATTTACCGTTCACTACAGCACAGTTCTCCAGGACGCAGCCCATGTGTGGGCATCAGTTTAGAGTTGTGAACTAAAATGATTTTTAAAGTCTTTAATGCTGGTGTTATAGCTGTTAACTTTATGAAATGATCCGCGGCGCTGACGCTCTCCAGACGCGGAGAAACTCCGCCTTTGTTCGTAACCACTCCTCTAGCCCCAGCTGGCCCGCTTTGGCCCAAGGTTTTCGTCAGGCCAAAAAACCCGGGCCTTTGGCCTCCGAGGAAGCTCCGACGAGGCACGATCAAGCCCCGGAAGTGACAGTGGAAACGCACTAGCACGCCCGCTTTTGGCCCGACAGTGGAAACGCGGCTAGTGTAACATTACTCCAGTGCGGGGCCTTCAACAAGGCCTTGTCATCGCTGCTGTTGTCTAAACTCTCACTACTGTTAAATTGAACGTAAACCTACCTGGAATTTATGAAAGAATGCCTCCGGCCATAACACGAGATATATAGGACTGATTAATCCCAACTTTCCTATTAGCGGCACTGCAACTGAGCCAGCAAACCAGTAACGAGTGATGAAAGGGATGTTTTTAAACCAGTCCCCGATATCTGACATCTTGCCATATGATTGGAAAGCCTGGAGATTCTCTGTCGGTCCTCCACCGATGCAGCTTAGGGAAACGAGCAGGTGCAACAAACGGATCTGTGATCACAACGCAGAAATGCTGTTTCAGTCTTCTTCTATTTTGGTTACCCTGGTGTACGCACTCCTTCCCCGTTTAGTTTACATGACGCGGCAGCGTTGTTGCGATTGTCCGTTAGATTTGACTGTCAAATTAACAGTCATGCAAAGAAACACGGGGATTTTTTCGAATTCGAAAAAAATAATGTTTATAATCTAAACGCAGATATTTTTTAAAAATGTAGTTTTTATCATTTATACGGGCTGTAGTCACTAAATATACCACAATTATGTGAAACGTAGTGAGAACTTTAAGACCACTTTATGAAATCGTTAAAAGTCTTTTATGTTGACGTCTAGTTCGAGGCGTTTTGAAACCGGAAGCGGCTACTTTGTGGCGCTACTTTTGGTGAAGTTAAGGTTTCGTATCATTTTATGTGATTATATTTGCAAAAAATATCGCAGATAAGTAGTTTGAATGCTTTAAGGGAATTATCGAAAACGAAAATGCTATAGCTTACCACTTAGACCAATACATTGTTAGTATATTTTGTTAAAGAGAAAAATGAAAGTGATTACATTATTTACAGATCATCATTCACTTCCAAAACTGTATGACTTTCTTTTTTCTTTAAGTTGAACAAAAACGATGTCAGGCAGAATGTCTGGGACTGTCGGCCTCAGTCACCATTCACTTACATATCTTTTTTTCACACTTTATAAGTGAATGGTGACAGAGGTTATTCTGTTTATCATATCTTTTTTTGTTCTATTAAAGAAAGTCCTACAAGTGTTAAAGAACACGAGGGTGGGGAAAGAGATTTTTTTTTTTAATCTTGTGGACTGTCCCTTTAAATTGTCTTTTCATAGCATGTTGTCAACCCAATGTTTAAGGTGCACGTGAGTTTGTGGTTAGAATCTGTGTCTCCCCCCCTCAAACAGTCATATAGCTTCCAAAGATGTCTCTAAGTTCAGTGCAGTCCACCTTGTCAACTCTGAAGTCATGCCAAGCAGATATTGGAGGTTGTATGGACATGGTATCAGATGTTGCGCTGGGAATAGTTGAAGCACAAGGTGAGTGATTTCTGAAAGATCATGTGATATTAAAGACTGGAGTAATGGCTGCTGAAAATTCAGCTTTCTTTTGGACATACTTTTCAAAATGTACTTTATATTTGATTTCAGGTATGGATAACAGTCCAGCTCTGAAGAAGCTGGAGGGGATGATTCTGGAGTGCTCGAGACTGGACAGAGAAATCAACTGTTTTGTGGAGTCTGTTGATGAGATGACTGCTCAGGTTTGCCTTAACTGGCTGTCACTGGTGCTTTATTTTGACACACAGTTTTTGTCAAGTCTCCCACTGAGCCACCCTGGCTTTCTCTCTATGTTCTGTAGGTCAGACATGAACCTCCTGAGGCCATGGTTCACCTGAGAAACTCTGTAAAGGAGCGATTCACTGAGCTTATGGCTGAAGTTACAGATGCAGACCTACAAAGGCACAGCAAGGTTGTTGCCTTCAGAGACAGTGTCAGGAAATATGCCATGCAAGGTGAGGAACTCACCCCCTCTTGCAACACAAGACCGCTGTATTTTCCACGTTATAAGTGCTGCAATTCCTAAATATATTATTTTTATGCATAATGTATATGCAGCAGGTCAAACTGCTGCTGAGAATGAAGAAGAGGAGCTGGATGAGGACATTGCTGTAACACAGAGCCAGACAAACTTCATCTGCCCTCTCACCCAGGTAAACGTCAGCATCATTTCACAGCATCAAGTGCACAAGATGCTATAGCCCTTGAGTTAAAAGTTCACATTTGTAGTGATGTTTTTGTGTGTTACTTGTATTGCAAGAAGAAGAAACATATAAAAATGACATATCATTCAAACCTTTTACTTTACCTTTTTCTGACAGGTTGAGATGGTCAATCCAGTGAAAAACAAGAAATGCCATCATTACTATGACCAAGAGGCTGTACTTGAAATGATTAAGGCCAGGCACAAAAATAAGAAGAAATTTCGGTATGTAGTCACTGCTGGGTTCTTTCTTTATGTTGCCCTAAATAAGTATACTGTTATGCAAAATTAATTGCCATATCCAGTCCAACAGGGCTGCATTTATTTGCAGTAAAAACAAATATTGTGAAATATTATTACAATTTAAAATAACTGTTTTCTATTTTAATTAATATATGTGATTGCAAAGCAGAATTTTTAGCAGGCATTACCCCAGTCTTCAGTGTCACACGATCATTCAGAAATCATTCTAATATGCTCAAAAAAATCTCATTATTTTTAATGTTAAACTTATTTAATGTTATTTATTAAATCTTAAAGGGGTCATATGATGCGATTTCAATTTTTCCTTTCTCTTTTGGAGTGTTACAAGCTCTTGGTGCATAAAGAAGATCTGTAAAGTTGCAAACACTAAAGTCTCAAATCCAAAGAGATATTCTTTATAAAAGTTAAGAGTCAACCACACCTACCTAAAACACCTCGTTCTAACACGCCCCCACATACCTACGTCATAGCTGGATAGCTGGCCAATCAGAGCACTCCTCGCTTTTCATTTCATTACACCAAATACACAAACTAATGTTCTTTTTAGCAACATATGACCCCTTAAAACTTATACCAATGTTACAATTAATATCAATGTTGACACTTAATGTTAAAAACAGTTTTGCTGCTTAATATATTTCTGGAAACCACCAGGATTCTTTGATGAATAGAAAATAGATTTTTTTTGTAACATTGTAAAAGTCTTTACTGTCAGGTTCGATCAATTTAACGTATCCTTTGAACTGTAGTGTATAGAACAATGTAACAGTCACGGTTGCCAACTTTTCTGTCATTCTTCACAGCTGTCCAAAGGTTGGCTGTGGAAACACAGATGTTCAGCTGTCAGATCTCGAGTTGGACCTGGTTATGAAGAGAATGATCCAGAACCATAAGAGACAGAGCGGAAAAACTTAATTTGACTAAATCAGTCCTGCAGACGTTACAGTTGTTCTGTCTGTAATAGGAAAATGGTTTTGCCTGAATTTTTTTAATGTAGAACTGGACTTTTGTAGTAAAATTTGGTTCATGTTAATCTATAACACATTTATAGTTCATGTTTGCAATACAAATATAAATGCACTATGCTTGGTAATTCTGACCTTTATTTTTTTTAAATAAAAATTTGCACCGTTCTATTACCTCACTGTCTCAGATCAACTAGGCATTTTATCCTTAGTCAAACAGAGTAAGACTTTTCATCTCTAGCAATGACAATAAAAAACCTAGTTCTTTTCAAAACAATTCACAACCAAATGTTTATTCAACATAATTGCACTGTAAAATAATCCATTAGAATCAGGCCAAAAGCCTGTTTTATAGTACTCCACCATGTCACAAAGACATGAAATCAGCATGAGACATGGGCATTAAAACCAGTTTAAGTTGTACAGGTTTATTACAATATCTGCCCCAAACCTTTGACTGTGTACAACAGCTAATTATAACAATACAAACTTTGGAAATTCTTCCATGTGGAAAATTCAGCGAGGCATTTCATGTCGAGACACATAAAAAGGACAGTCTGATTGGTTACGCCCGGTCAATATGAAACCGGCATTCGAATTAGGCCCCAAGACCCTGACAGACAAATACAGGAAAAAGACCTCATGATCAAAAGTCTCAGACAGTTCTGATTGACTAGTTATTTGAGACAAAGGGACACAGGCATTGACTTAAACAACCCATTATTTAAACCCAGAGCTTCCCATACATTGAATTTTCATAATTTTGACAAACAGCATTTCATTATTGAAGATTAAGTCATTTTCACATGAACAAGTAGGCTAAAAAAAAAAAGCACACTCAAACCGCCTTACCACATTTATATAGACCCAAGCGTTTTTTGTTCACTGATCAAAAAATGAAGACGGCATAAGTCTTCTGCTCTTAAGAAAACCGTCTTATGAAAAGAGAAAACAATTTTGTCTCAAAAAGAAAAGAGCAAAGGCATGTCCACATTTTCTGACTGTATCAGAATGAATCATATTGCGAAAACGGATACGCATGTCCTTTCAAAACACCTGCAATATTATGCATATCAGACACACTTCTTTCACATGATGCGCATTTAAAATCAAACCTTATGTGACTGTCTGTTGATCAGATAACTGAACATTTAGATTGATGAGAGCTCTGCTGGACAGTCCTGTGAGCACTTTGTCCTGGTCCGTCCATGTGAAGGTTCAACACACTAATACTGGGAGTCTGTTTCAGTGTTGGTCCATGTCCCCATGTCTCTTTGCACCGGTCCAAGCATGGTGGAGGGTTGTATCTGTTGAGATTCTTGAGTCGCCACGGCTGTTCTATCCGATGGTGATCCCAAAGCCACACTGAAACTTGTTCTTGCGGTGGTTAAGGAAGGCTCCTAAAGCTAACGATAGAGGAAGGGGTAACAGCTTCTTTTCTAGCGTCGCCCCCACCACCCAGTTGCTATCTAAAGAACCTGGAGAACAAGAAGAGCACAGGGAAGCTTAGCAATGGAACCAAACTGGAACAAACTTGAAAGTAGGTTGCACAATTAATCGAAATAAAACCAAAATCACAATACAGCTTATAGCAAAGACTGCAATTTAATGAAATAAATATAAATGCGCTGCGTGCTTAGAGTGAAGCATGGCACTGTTCTTATGTGTGAGCATCTCATTATCTACTGATGTTTGAGCGTCTCAGGTCACAGTATATTTTGTTCCATGCAAACTCCATCTCTGTATCTGCTCAGCGTTTGGATCATTTTAATATGAATCTGTGGACACGATATGCACTAACAATCTTCCTAAATTTGTAATGCGCTTAACGATCCCAAACTGGATCAATAGCTTAAACACTGACCCACAAAACAAAGCTTTAAGGGCTTTCTGTGGTTTTCTATCAATATAAAAGTTTGATGGCTTAACATTTGAAATTAAGAAGATTAATACACCCATAAATATAAGTGCTGTAAGTTTACAGTTGAAATGTAAAATACAATCATTATTATATAATAAAATATTATATATCTTTTTCTTAAATACTCATTTTATTTTACAGTGAAGTGAATTTAGTGATATTTGTTTTATTTAGTAATAATCATACTCTTGATAATAATAATACTAATAAATTACATTATTCTTAAATACTATTTCTTGTGTTGTAGTGAAATATTACAATAGTTTTGTTTTTATTTAGTAATTAAAATACTACTACTGTTGGCGCCAATGGCATCGTGGGCAGCGCGCCGACATGTAGCGCCTTTGCGCTTCGGGCGTCCCAAGTTCGAGTTCCGACTCGTGGACCTTTCCCAATCCCATCCCCCTCTCTCTCTCTCACCCACTTCACTTCCTGTCGACCTACTGTCCTATCTAAATAAAAGACATAAAACGCCAAAAATAAATCTTTAAAATACTACTACTAACTATGATTATTATTTTATAGCCATATTGATATATAAATTTAAAAAAATTAATCACATTTTAAAACATGACGATTTTTAATCTGAAAAAAATCACAATTGGATTGAATCCCCAAATTGTGCAGCCCTACATGAAAGTGTGGAAATAATTCAAATCAATCTCAAATTGTTTTGAATGCAAGCGTTTCAAGACAAGTGTTTCAGTACCTTTAAAAAGCAGATTTGCTTTAGGTACATCCAACTGATAACCAAACGACACGCTTGTGTCCTGCATCCGTGTGCTGGCCTCAAACTCTACCCCAATCTGGAGCTGTAGGAGGTGTTCAAATTCAAAGGAGTGAGTTTAACAGATCTTTAACAGGTCTTATCTCAAGTAACAAATCTGTCATTTAATACATCTATTTATTGTATGAAATACCTGGTCATTAGCTTTGTGGTAATATGACGCATGTGCACCAGCTCCTCCAACAGTCAACGTGGCGACATAGTTACTACCTGAGGATGAAAACATACAGGTCCAATCAGTACATTCAATCGAATTATGAATTTCTGCCAATCCTTGAAATGTGACAAAGAATGATCTGCAAATGACCACCTGTGTATCTGCCCACAAATGATGTGACGGTGCCCTCTTCTCCTGGCCTCCTGTGATAGACCAGTTCACCACCCAATACCAAAGCAGGAGACAAGGACTGGAGGTAGTGCGCCACAAGGATACCTAACAGACCAAACATGAAAGTGAATGTAAGCTCCTACAGATAAATAGTTTCCTCATAAAACTTAAAAAGTTTGGTGTCAGTAAGATTTTTTATAAAGGAAATTACTTTTGTTCAGTAAGGATGCATTATTTCATATAACAACAAAAAAAAACATTTCCACAAAAATATAAAGCAGCACAGTGTAGCGTCTGGACCAATCAAACACACAATTTTTCATTTGATTTAACAAATCAGTTATTAGAATAACAAATCGTCACAGTCCCCTCACCCAATAAACTGGGTGCCTGGTGTCGTTGGTCCCCATGGCAACTAATGCTGATATCACTGGTTTTATGACCCACAAGAATGCGAGTAGGGAAAATCACTACCTTTTTATAGGAAGAGACAATGCACAGTAGAAATGGACTTTTCTCTAATTAATCCATAGGAAAACCTTTCTTTGAATGAACACACATATCCTTCAGGTCATCGTGTGTTCATTCAAAGAAAGGTTTTCCTATGGATTAATTGGAGAAAACCTTTCTTTGAATGAACACACATATCCTTCAGGTCATCGTGTATGTTGTCTTTGAGATTTTATGCAGGCTTATGATGGAAACACTCATTCCTGTCATCTTACCTATATGTAATCCTACCATGTTTAGTATCTATGAATTCGCCTTCTGATGATCTAAACGAGAGTGTATATTATATGTTGGTACATAGGCAATATATTAGTGTCCTGAGAATCTTTAGTAATTTCGATTCAAGTTCCATATGCAAATTACCATGCTTCCACACAAAGAGTCATAAAACTCCCCAGTATTTCCAAACTCCCACTTGAAATTTCTGTCTTTCTCACTGGACAAGCCCTTTTGAGAGGCGTGAATCTTCGCAGACTTTAAAGGCCTCACATTCATCCTTATTTCTCTCCTTTTTACTGCCTAAACTTTAACTCCTTTTCCTATACCACCTGTATGCGTGTGTGTGTGTGTGTGTGTGTGTGTGTATGTTAGACTAGTTTAAGTGTTTATGTAGTTAATAAAGTCTTACTTGTATCACACTTGACGTTGTTCATTGTTTGCTCATAACTGGAGTCACTTAATCATGCAGATTTATGCTACAAGCTCGGTGTAGAATTGTACAGTAAGGAAGTTATTTCCCTTAACCAGGAAATTAACGTTCTTAGAATTGATAGACAGTTGACCCTGAGAGGTCAAGTAAATATCTACAGCAGATCTAAATATTTATAATTAATTATAACTAGTTATGATTAATTATTCATAATTATTCATGAGCTGATTCGCTACAACAGCATGATATGAAATGTTTCTTAAGCAGCAACTCAGCATATTAGAATGATTTCTGAAGGATCATGTGACACTAAAGACTGGAATTTCGCCATCACAGGAACAAATTACACTTTAAAATATATTCAAATAGAAGACGGTTTTAAAAAATAAAAAAAAATTCACAATATATTACTGTTTTTACTGTATTTCTGATCAGTAAATGCAGTCTTAAGAGAGAACATTACACAAAAATCTTACCGACTCCAAACATAAACATAACATCTTGTATTGTTTTTTTAGAACTTGACAGTCATGGACTATAGCAACTGCAAGGTATGTTACCAGATCCAACGAGAACATCTGGGTTGCCAAGGGTAACAGCAGCTGTGAAGTCATCGCCACGGTATTCTGCATCACACTGCCAGTTTACAAACTTGTGTTGCTGCGTCTGTAACACATAATTTATTCAGGCAATTAATAACAATACTCTATGCAGCATTGCATCTCATTTTCCACAACAACAGATCTCTGGACAAAGCTGCAATTTTAAAGACATTAGATCATGTGATTGGGATTATCTTCTTAAAGCATGTGAAACGATTTATTTCTTCTCACCATATTTTCTGAAATTACTTTTCTCACAATACGAGAGAAACCAGTTTATCACATAACTGATCTAGCTTACATTAATTGTACGATACATCTGTGTCATAAAAAAACTATACCATGTGTAGGATCTGCTGATTCACATTCATAGTTTGTGAACATGACTGCAAAGTCGTACATACCTGCATTACCAATTTAGAGCGAATGCGGTTGGTAAGCTGATGGATGACCTGTGCGTTTAGACTGCCTGTGTTGTCCATGTCACCTACCATGACCGGAAAAGACTGAGGGGGACAGACCAAAAAAAAAAGAAAAAAAAAAAAAAGAGGCATTAACATCACATCCTACTCAGCATTTCATTCTGACTCAATATTGACATAGCAAGTTGACCGAAAACCGCTTTCAAAAGGGAAAAATATACATTAAAAACAATAGTTCTTGAACAAAAGACACCCAGAGTGAAAAATTTAAGGGGGTCTGAATACTTTCCGTACCCACTGTGTATATATATATATATATATATATATTATTGTCATAGGATTGTCTTTACTAACTGCCATTCAGATTGCCATTTTATTTTTTCCCATAATCATACGACTACTGTAATTTGAGTTTTAAAGCATGTCTTGTCATTGAATTGCATCAAAGAGCATATTGTAAGGTTATTTTAGTATTATTGAAATACTAATATATTTTTTATTAATAATTTGACAGTTTTTATTTTTATATTTTATGAGGTTTTTTTATAGAATGAGATACTAATATAGTATTTATAAACTTTTAATAAGTTTGTATTTTTTTTATTTTGGCATTTTTACTTTTATTATAATAGGACAGATCAGAACTGACAGGAAGCGAAGTGGGACAGAGAGAGAGGGGCGGGATTGGGAAAGGTCCTTGAGTCGGGATTCCAAACTTGGGACGCCTGTAGCGCAACAGCGCTGGATGTTGGCGCGCTGCCCACAAGGCTATCGGCACCGACATAAGTTTTGTATTTTTATATCTTCCGTTTCCTGTATAACAAGCTGATCTGTATAACAAGCTGACAGTAAATCACTAGTCAGTTAAAAAGCAACTAAAAGGCTCACCTCTGCAGGTCCTGTTTGCTTCCTGCCCACATACGTGGCTCCAAATCTGTAACCCGAGTCCCCCAAGGTGCTTAGAGTAACTGTGTGACTAACCTGAGGAAGCAAATGAAGATGTGATATATTTTTGTCATTCTATCTTTCATTTCTAAGTGGTAAAAATAGAATTGTGTGATAACTGACCTGGAAGTGATTACTCAAGCCCTTGTTGACAACTAATCGTACCCCCTCAATCTGCACAGGGAAGACCTCTGAAAAGCAGACAAAAAGACCATAAGTAAACATAATAGATCATAAAACTGTAGAAGGTATGTCAGAAAATGACCCCAAGACAAACCTTTGCATTTCCGATGACACTCTTCAAATGTGCCGGGGTTGGTGAGAGAGGCCTCTGCATCTGTCCCGGGCTGCCCCTGTGTGCTTGAGGTGGCTGGGACTGCAGACACTGGGGGCATGGTGAAACCTGGGGGTACCGTTACCAGACCTGCACCCCCTGGGGCACTGCCACCCCCTGAGGCTGCGGGTGGGTTTGGGGAGCCGGCAGCCAACACACTGCCCATGCTTAAGAAAAATACAACAGTACAGTAAGATTGAAATAGCATTAAATGTTATCATTAGCTGACAAAACCATAGGGCAAAAGGTCACGTTACTATAGTCAGAGACAGACTGGCAGAAAACAACATATTTCTAGTTCCAATAACTACCAAATATCAGAACCAAATGAAAACCTTCATCTCTCCCGGTTTACATAGTTGACAACTAACTTATAGTCAAGCTGCGACTCTCTTGTCATGAAAGCCAGTTCTGCGCGCATAACAACAACTAGAATTTGGCTCGTTAAAGAAAAGTAGTGCACTAGCATGTGGAGCTTCATTCACGCCTCATTGGCTAAATAGCAGGTAAGCTAAGGTTAATGCTAGCCAACTAGCTAACATGCTTTGATGTAAAAGAAAGAGTGGCACATATCTGAGTGAGACGCGAGAAAAAGGCTGTATTATATATACTAGCTGGACAGTCATTTCTATCAGTATATGGCGGACTAATAAATAGCAAGTGTATGAATGCAATTTATGTAACTATTTGTAGGCCTCGTGCTATACTCACGTTTAGCAATGCAGTCCTGTTTAACGGCTGAGAGGGACCGGTTAGGATACAAGGGACAACCTACGTAACCGACGTCTTGGCCCGCCCATTCCGGCTGTATTAAGAGATGATTGGATAAAAGACACCACAACTGCCTGATGATTGGATACTGAGTATGGCGTCCTCGTGAGGTCATCGGGGAAGGAATAAGACGGCTCGTTCTTTTTTCCTCTGGCAGATCTTATTCTCTCTTATTGTTATCTCTTTAATTAATATTTTCTTTACAATCTGTATTGTTTCATTATGTTCCAATAATAAAAAATACGACGGCTCGTGACGTATATTCTCCACTCCTCCAAAAGTACTCTTCAAAGGGTATGAGATGTACATTTGCATTTGTTCTTGATACAATTAGAAAATGGACGAAGGGATGGTAACAAAACAGTAGTTTTGTTGAACTAGCTGGTGTTTACATTTTATTCTAGTTAATGCAGAATTGTGAGAAACAATATTCATATATTTAATGATTATTAATATATATATATATAAATGAATAAAAATGTTATATTCAAATATTTCAACCATAAACATTCATACTCTACAGGAAAGCCAAAGCTTTGCCTATAATATGTTTTTATTGCAAACAAGATTTATTTTTTCAGAGCTCAAAATTCTCATCTGAGAAGTTTCAAATGGTTACATGGTCTCAAGCAGGAGGAATTATTAATCTTTCTCATAAGTGGCTCTTTTACACACTTTAGCCTCCTAAAGAGGCTGAAGTGCTTAAGAGATTGATGTCTGGCGAGTTTCTTCCATTTCAGCCAAGGAGCCCCACAGTAATGTGTTGTAAGTGTTGTAACTTCTCTGAAACCCGCCCTCTGTCTTGCTCAGCCTTGGTATCTTGTGGAGTTTCTAAATATTTAATGTCAGTTAAGTAAATGTTAGTGTGAAAAACTGCATAATTTAACTAGATTTTACCTTATTTAAATAGAATTTATAAATTGTAGATTGAGAAGAAACCGTTTAAAATGTACCCATTTAAACTAAATTTATTTGGTGGTGGTGAGGTTTAATCTTAAAAAAGGTTAAAAATACAAGGTTGGCACTAAAAGTATGTGAAAAGTTAAATCAGTCACCTGCTTATACTATGAAGATTTAACTTACATTCTTGATTTTGGACCAATTCCAACTTCGGAGTCATTGGAGTGATAATATTAGTTTCCTTGACGTCAAGGTATTTGAAAGAGAAAAACATTTGGAGAATATGCTGGACTTTATTTTGCTTAAAAGAGAAGGGACAGGATAGGCTGGCATTAACATTAGGAGAAAAAAGCTTTGGCCATTCTCCCATGAATCCTCGCAGTAAAACATACAGCTTCTACTTAATACAACATGTCCAAGAGAGCACAATTCAACACATACAACAGGGGACACAAAAAAAGGTTTACAATTTGAGAGCTACCAACTTTATAACAGCTGCCATTTCATCACAGCATTTGTGCTGATATGTTGCAAAAACATTACTCTGTCTGTTTCTGTGCATTAGACACCACCAGGGGAAAAACTTAATCTGATCAATCACATTTCATTGTTTTAATAAAATAAAACCTGACTGTGTTTCAACGGGGGAAAAATGACGTCAAGGTATTTGAAAGAGAAAAACATTTGGAGAATATGCTGGACTTTATTTTGCTTAAAAGAGAAGGGACAGGATAGGCTGGCATTAACATTAGGAGAAAAAAGCTTTGGCCATTCTCCCATGAATCCTCGCAGTAAAACATACAGCTTCTACTTAATACAACATGTCCAAGAGAGCACAATTCAACACATACAACAGGGGACACAAAAAAAGGTTTACAATTTGAGAGCTACCAACTTTATAACATTTCATCACAGCATTTGTGCTGATATGTTGCAAAAACATTACTCTGTCTGTTTCTGTGCATTAGACACCACCAGGGGAAAAACTTAATCTGATCAATCACATTTCATTGTTTTAATAAAATAAAACCTGACTGTGTTTCAACGGGGGAAAAAGAAAAATGTATACATTGAACAACCTAAACTGTCCTCCAGTTTTCAAAAATGCAGGCTGAACTGCTGAAATTGAAGTCCGGCCTCACCAAACATCTGAGCTGGGGTACCTGGTTGTTGGACACAAGCAAATCTATTGCTCACCCAGCCAATGTTGAGGTAGGCACTGTTCACTACCAACAAACTGGTGGGTCAAATAGAGAACAAGTGATTTATGGGGTTGAGGTACTAGAGAAGTCTAAATCTTGCAGGTAACAACAACTTCCACTGACGATCCTGACCAAAGCTAAGTTTTTATTTTATTTTTTTGCACCATGCACCTATAGCGCTCCTCCTACCCAGCGGAAGTATATAATAGAGTAAGGCACTTAGAGAAACCGAGATGGCCAAAGTGAGTATGATGCGGAGACTGACTTCAAAAATAAAATAAAAAAGGGGATTGAATGTTTTCGATAAAATTTTGGGAAAGATGACATGGTGACGAGTCAAAAGTTAGTATAAGAAAATGCTGAAATGTTGTCTGTTTGTATTAGAAAGAACGTACAATCCTCTCTCCAGAAGATACACACACACATACAAAGCTGTGAACAACCAACAGAAGACCATTAGGAATGTGTTAAACTTCCTCCATGGTTTTCCCTGATCAACTGTAAAGCTCCGAGTAAAACTCATTCATTATATAATGCGCAACAACCTTCCACATTAGGCGCTGGATAGACAGCACTAAATTTACTGCTTGTAAAGCTTGGGAATTTGTTTTTGGCACCCTCTTCTGCCATTATTTTCCATTTCATTGTTCTGGTACATAAAAGGGGGGAAAATCCTCATGAACAGCAGTTATGGACGGTGAATGGTCTTTGCCAGTTCTCTGGGTCCAAAGAACAGTGGCTTATTGTGCTCCAAATGGAAAAGGGGTAAGCTGCCTCAGTGAGTCCATCGAGAACAACAAAACCTAATGACTTTATACTGACCCCTAAACCTGTGGCAGCTGATCACATTTTACCATGGCAGTTCCAGACCCATGAAGCATTTGGTGAGAAAATGAACTACAATAAACAAAAGAAAACGAGTCATCTTTGCGTCTGTCTTCAGTAGAAATTGTGCAGAATGCCAAGCATTGGTCCCTTTATTCTCCTAAAAGAAAGGGAGATATCAGTATATTGTCACATCTAAATAAAAGAACAAGTTCTTCAGATCAGGTCATTTAGGACATGGCCTTCTTACCAGTAAGGGTTAATTAAGCTCGCCTGCTTTGTGAGCAGCCTCCTCTTCATCTGGGTTCATGGAGTGAAACTCTGCCACATACAGGCTCTTGTCAATGCTGCTGGGTATGGGCTTTATGTCAGTCATCAGCTGGTCCTCAATGCCCTTTAGGTTAAAACGATCTTCTGAGGTGATCAGGTTAATGGCCAGACCCAGATGACCGTATCTACCTGAGAACATATAGAAAACACTAAAATAAACTACATGTAGACAACAACAACAGATGAACAAAAAAAAACAAAAAACATAAAAACCAGTCAAATCCTGAGTTGACGGTTACCTGATCGACCAATGCGGTGCAGATATGTCTCTGCATTTTTGGGGAAGTCAAAGTTGATGACTACATTGACAGCCTGGATGTCAATTCCTCTTGTGAAAAGATCTGAGAGAGGAAACATCCCATCAAAAAGGTTTCATAAGCATTTGGGGAAATCCCTGAAAACAGAATTCTATGAATATGGCTATCCGTACCCGTGCAGACCAGGTTCCTACACAGTCCGTTTCTGAAGTCATGGAACACACGATTTCTGTATTCCTGTGATAATATAAAAATACTTTAGAAAAACAAATCGCAGCATGCTCACAAAGGCTGCATTTATCAAATACAGTAAAAAAATATATATAAATAAATAAAAAAGAAAAGAAAAGCAAACAGTAATAATATTGGGAAATACAATTTAAAAATAACTTTTTATTTTCCATTTATTTTAAAACTTAATTTCTCTGATGGCAAAGCTGAATTCAAAGCATGTGATCCTTCATAAATTGTTCTAATATGCTGATTTGGTGCTCAAGAAACATTTATTATTAATGTTAAAAAAAAGTTTGTGTGTGAAAACAGTGTCTTCAAAAAAAAGCAATAGACAGAAATCTTTGTAACATTATAAATATCTTTACTGTAATTTGATCAATTTAATGCCTCCTTTCTGAATTAAATAGTAATTTCTTTAAAAAAAAAAAACCTCTTAACAAAAGGTTTAATATATTCTGAAACCGACCTGCATCATCTTGGCGTGGATATAAAAGCAGGAATAGCCAAGTTGTGTGATCTTCTTGGCAAGGAGTTCCACCCTTTGGGTGGAGTTACAGAAGATGATTGACTGGTTGATTTGGAGCTAGGAAAGAAAAATATATAAAATAAACAAATAGAAGGAGAGGTAATGAAAGGACTTATTTTTTCCTAGGAGTTGAGGACACAGAGTACAAAAAGACAATACAGTTACTCAATTGTAGTATGCCAAAAGCTTTGAAATGGAGAACTTGCAAAAATACCAGACAAATTTAGGGCATATCTGTAAAGGGAATGGTCGCTTACCCTGGAGAACAATGTGTTGAGACAGTGCACTTTCTGTCTTTCTGTCACATAAGCATAGTACTGAGTGATGCCTTTCAGTGTCAGCTCATCCATCAGATTGATTTCATATGGCTTCTGAAGGTGTTTGGTCTACACACCAGGAGAGTGTCATTAACATGATTAAACAAGACATCTAAATATGAGAAATAATCCTGGATATTGTAAGACATTTAACTTCAGAAAGACTAGACTGATTATATAAACCAAGGAGTTATTACAACAAGTAAAGCTCTCACCATAAACTTCTGCACACTGGTGGGGAAAGTGGCAGAATAGAGCAAAACCTGGCGGTTTTTGGGCAGGAAGCTGATGATGTCCTCAATGAGCACCACAAAGTCTTGAGAAAGCAATTTATCAGCCTGTAAAAAAAAAGAAAAGAAAAAGAATTAAGACACAATGACCTTCAATTTTAGCATTCATTTAGAACAGTGGTCACCAACGTGGTGCCCGTGGGCACCTGGTAGCCCGCATGGAGTCTCTTAGTCGCCCGCCAAGCACGTTCTATAAATAGCCTAAATTAGCGTTGTGTGATAATTTATATCTTATCGAGATTATGATCAAATTTATGTTAATAATGATAAGCTGTGGACACTTTTACTCAAAATGGATTAATCTAACATCCTATCACACAACAGAAATAAATGTTACAGCAACCAGTCAGTGCATGTCGCTAACAAGTCTGCATGTTCTGTGTCTCTGAATGCGTGGAGTAGTTTAGTTTAATCTGATACACAAATTCAAACACATGTGACTCGCGGTGTTTTCAGCATCTGCGTCTCAATATATGAGGACATGAACACATGCACTTCATCTTCAGAGCTGTTCTGAGAGTCACTTCACCAGCTTTATGAAGTTTCATTTGAGAAAAAATAGTCAAATACACACTGAAACTAAAACTAACTGAAAGACCTTCGAGACATACCGTCAAAATAAAAGTCCGGTTTAACATGAAATTATATGACTGAATATATTACTACTGTATACTACAATGCAATTCTCAAAGTAATAATATTATTATTATTTTTAAGGAATATCATACAACCAAGTCATTTTCTATTATTATTAATTTATACAGTTCTGTTATGCAACATGTCTGATCAAAAACAAAAAAAACAATGTTTTGTTGTAAATTGATTTTCATTTGATTACATTTTAAAAGATTGATTAAATTGTTAAAGTTTTATTAATTCATTTCACTAGACACTATTTTTTATGATAAATTTGTACTGAATCATAAAACACTGAATCCATAAGAAATCAAATGGAAAACACATAATTTAGGGAAAATAAAATGCATTTTTGCATAAAATGCAAGATATCAAAAATTAATTGTGTGTGTGTGTATATATATATATAGATAGATAGATAGGAGTATATCAAACAAGTAGCCCTTGAGACTATTTTATCCCTTCAGGGAGCCCTCACTCACAAAAAGGTTGGAGACCCCTGATTTAGAAAATATGCTTAGTTGGAAATCTTTCTTGCATTATTTTTCTCACCTCATCCATCACAATCATCTGAGCTTTGTCAACCTTGGCCACACCTTTCTTCATCAAGTCAAGGATCCTTCCTGGGGTAGCTATTATAACATGTACTGAAAAGACAAAAAAAAAAAAAGTAAAGTTAACAGTAGGAGGAGGGGGGGGGGCTGTATTCTTCAAGTACATTATCTTCTAAATTCTTTTAAATTTAATTAAACCGTCAAGATGACTTGCCCTGCATGTTAGATCTTTAACCCATTATAATCAAGTGTGGATAATTATGAAACTCTAAGTAACATCACTTCTCTCTCAGGAACAAGGAAGTGCAATTTAAGAATTTCTTAAATGACTGTGGCCTGGCAAGAGGACAGCACTTCAGAAAAACAGTTAGTAGGTGTGACATCCCAACCAAAAAAAACTTGTGGAACATCACCTTTAAGCAAAATTTACTGAAGAATTTACACAAGTGCTTCAACAATATGATTGCCTGTAATTTTAAATGTTACTGTAAAGGTGTTTCTTACTTCAATTTTACTACCCACATTTAGTTTTGAAATCACTACAAGTTTTTTCAAGCTTGGGAAACTCGCAAAGAGGGTAGAGAACTCTCATCAATTACCAGTCTCATCAAGACGCATAATGTCATCTCTCAGGTTAGTGCCACCTGTTGTAGCCATGACCTTGACGCCACCAAGGTGCTTGCTCATGTTGATACTTATCTGGCTCATCTGCAGAGCCAACTCACGAGTTGGTACCAACACTATGGCTAAAATAAAGTTGGGGAGAAAAAAAAAAAAGTTTAAAATAATCAAATGTATAAAACTAACATTCAAAAACATGGAGTCACCAAGATTTAGGTTTTTTACCAAGAAATTAGTACTTTACTCAATTTAATCTGTCCTTGGTGAATAAAAGTAACAGTTACAGGCTTTTACATAGTTACAAAATTGTATGATTTCAAATAAACGCTGTTCTTTTTAAACTGTGTTCAAACAATCCTGAACTAAAGTATCACGTTTCCACAAAAATATTAAGCAGCACAGCTGTTGTTTGTTCTTGAGCACCAAATCAGCATATTCAAATGATTTCTGAATGATCATATGATGCTAAAGACTGATGCTAAAGTAATGGCTGCCAAAAATGTAGCTTTTTATTTTTTTTACTTATTTGCATTTCATATTATATTCCTACCTTGAACATAGTCCTTCTTCATGTCAATCCTTTCCAAGAGGGGGATGAGGTAGGCTCCGCTTTTACCTGTGCCATTTTTAGCTCGGGCAAGTATGTCCCTCCCTGACAAGACAATAGGAATACTCTCCTCCTACAGGGACAGACAGTGTAGGGAAAAAAGTAAAAGAAAAAAAGAAAAAAACTCAAGACAGGCTTATTTGACAAACATTCTGAAAGTCATAAGCCAAGCAGACAAAACCAATCAACCACATTGGTTTTTATACACGTGTATAGTATAATATAAATTAGTACAGTATATAAAGGTTTGTAACAGTGTATACAGGTTAGAGCAGTGTTTCCCAACCTTTTTTTAAACTTGTGGCACCCTACAAAATTAATTTGTCACAATATTTGAATTTCTAACTTCGATATGATAATTTGAAAAGTATAGATATTCGGTACAACAGAGAAGAACTGCAGAATATAATGTCATACAGATTTTTAATATTATTAAAAAATTGTGTCCATCAATGGTGGCAATCAGTAGCCTAATTTCTAATGAAGACCAATTTATATGACAGATTTTAATGTAGGCTTTTATACACATGTAAACATTATTTAATTACCATTATAACTAGCTATCTCACAAATTTTTGCTCACTCAGTGTTTTTTTTTTATTTTACAGTGGGGTAATTTTGGTGCAGTAGCACGAGATAGCTTGATTTCAAACTTTGAATTTAATAAAAAATTACAAGCAAGCAGTCAGTAATAAAATAAGAACAAAAAGAAATTAAGAATGATAGCACATAAATAACGACATGCCTTCGAATTAAATAAATTGCTTTTTAGTTTTTCAGGTAGGTCTAACAGTAGGGTTAAGATATTTAACTTTGTTTTATTTTTACCAATTATCCAAATAATGTTT